CTCTTTGACTAGTGCATCTTTGAGCCTATAGTATAAGTAAAATACTTAAGTACTGTTAAAATCAGATACTCTAAGACTTTTACTCAAGTTGTTTTGGAATTGGTGACTTGTAACATGTAGTGGAGTAATTTTCACTGTAAGGTATCTGTACTTTTACTCAAGTATAGTTTTTAGGTACTCATTACACCTCTGTTGAATAGTCATGGAGACCTAACGGCAAGACATTTTCAATGGAAATCTTTGGGATGTTAATCATCAGTTTACGGGAAAACCAAAAGCAACACCCGTCAGAACAGGCTGGAGGTCAGTGCCGGGAAATTTTGAATCGGAGTTCGGGATTTAAAAATCCCCGAGCCATAATGATTTCCAGCAGACTCCAGTGATTCAGATGACATGATTCTGCCTTGAAGCATCTGAATAGGTCCAGGCTGTCTGTGCTAATCAGAATCAAGTGCTTCTCTTGTCATTTGTTGTCCTGATGAATATGGTTTTATGAGCAGTTTCAGATCTAAAATGCAGATTACAGCAGGAAGTTCCTGTAGATTTGAGGATGTACTTCAGTGTCTCTCTTTGTCCAACTGTCTTGTCTTTCTGTAAGAAATGACAAGATCTTCACAGGACATCAGTCACTTAATCATGCATACAAGCTGCAATAATGGAGATCATTTACAGTAGAGACTCACCTTTACAAATATAATCCAGAAGTGGACAGATTTGTGCATCTGAAGTCTAGCGGTAGTGTTCACCAGACATGCTGATCACTGTGTCTGTGTTTTAATAGTCTCTGAGGTGATGACCCAGCTGTGTGTGTGTGTGTGTGTGTGTGTGTGTATAACAGCTGCAGCTGTCTCACTGCATAACCTCACATGCTACAAACCCACATACAGGAAACAGACAAGCGACGACAGGAAGTTTGGGTTTAACGCATCTATCTATTTACTGTGCAATCACGCGTGACTAACAAGATATTCAAAAAGTATCAGGAACTATACTGAATTTTCAGTGTGTGTTTAGATGTTTTCTCACTGAAATCATGTTTCATCAATAGGTTTCCATGTAAATTTGCATTGCTAGTTAAAGTTAAAAACTTTAAATCATACTAAAGCACATGTTGTCACAGACTGGTGGTCTTCTTAGAGAGTGTGAACTTTAACCCAGAGTTTGTTTTGCGACGAGACCCGAGTGAGAGCTGTGTGTACAGTGATAGAAGGTGAGATGTTAAAGTGTGTGTGTGTGGTGTTACTGTAGTGAAACTCTGGAGGGCTGGAACTAAACCAACTGAAAAGAGGAAGAAACAGACAAGCGACGACAGGAAGTTTGGGTTTAACGCATCTATCTATTTACTGTGCAATCACGCGTGACTAACAAGATATTCAAAAAGTATCAGGAACTATACTGAATTTTCAGTGTGTGTTTAGATGTTTTCTCACTGAAATCATGTTTCATCAATAGGTTTCCATGTAAATTTGCATTGCTAGTTAAAGTTAAAAACTTTAAATCATACTAAAGCACATGTTGTCACAGACTGGTGGTCTTCTTAGAGAGTGTGAACTTTAACCCAGAGTTTGTTTTGCGACGAGACCCGAGTGAGAGCTGTGTGTACAGTCAGAGAAGGTGAGATGTTAAAGTGTGTGTGTGTGTGGTGTTACTGTAGTGAAACTCTGGAGGACTGGAACTAAACCAACTGAAAAGAGGAAGAAACTCTGATCAGCGAGAGAAACACCACAGCCATCAGGAACAGTGGTGTGTGTGTGTGTGTGTACTATCATACACTTGGTTAAACTTTTTTAAAATAAATAGTTCACTTACCTTATATTTAATGTAATTAATTGGCTGCACTCACCCAAGTGAGACAAGACGAGCACTGCACATGAAATATGTGTATTTTTTGTTTAATATACTTTTACCAAGGTTTTAAATCACCATTTTAATGGTCTCTGAATATGGATAAACGACTAATAACAAATTTAAGATTTAACTTAAAAGCTTTTAGGAATAAAAGGGATTTAGCTTTGGGAAATTCATTTTAAGCGAATCGGACAGTGAATCATCACTCAAAAGTATATGGGTGTGTGGTACTATTTCAAGTTGTTAACAACAAAATTAACTGGATTATTTCCCAAATTATTAGTATACAGTAAAATCCTGAGTGTTAAATTAACACTGCTCGGAGCATATATGGTCCCACTCTACAAGAGTGTTAAAGTAACTATTATCTAATGAGATAATTCTGTGATTAATTAAGATTGAGCATTAGTGATGAACAGCTGCTGTTAACAAGCAGAATCACTGAAGAAAAGAGAAACACAAGAACTACAACTGACTTCAGCCACAGCCTGATGCCTGTTTCACACATACAGCGACTGAATGCTACCCCAGATAGTCACGCAGTGTGAAAACAACGGCGATCCGACGAGTTTGAAAATCGTGCAGTGTGAACTCGGCATTAGATGAAATCAACTGAAATAAAAGACATGAAATCTCTCAAGATCTCAGCAGAAGATGATTAATCATCTCCACAGACAACATCACCAGCTTCACGCATTACTACGTTTGACTTTTTTTTTGTCATGCGTCTAAAAAATTCTTAAGAATTAACAGAGGTTTAGATGTTAATGTTTATTGAAAATAATAAAATGTGAAGTCACTATTGTGGGGATAAGTGTTTGTTTTAGTTGGTCTCTTGACCCTTGATTTTTTAACATTAGTTTTTCTCTGGTTGCTGTAACTGTGTTTATGAAACACACTTGTTATGGCAAGAAAAACCAAGAGAAAATGTGATCAGATTATATCGGCCATTTTTTGATAAAGACATAGTAGCCTGAGTCACTGATGTTGTCAGTGGTGATGTGTAATATAGTTTATGTTATTGATCACCACTGTATTTTAATGAAATACTATGAGGAACTTTAAAAACATTTTGCACACCAGTTTAGAACGTCTGTACGATTTAGACACGCAGACATCAAGAATCAGCAAATGAATCTCAACAATGGTGATGATCATCAGACAGATTCATGTTGCACTGCATTCTGGGTGCACCAATCACAACTCATCCATGGCTCCCAGCATGCATTGCGACATGAATAAATTATGCAGCTGCATTGTCTTAGGATTTTCTTTTATTCTTACTGTTTGCTTTTATTTATTTATTTTGTATACTTTTTACTGCCTTGTTTTGTGACGTTCAAAAATCACGTAAAAATTATCAGAATATTTTGTCACCATTGCTGAGATTCACATGCTGATTCTTCATGTCTTTGAGTGCCAGAATTGAAACCTCTCTATGAACCATATTTATAAAAGTGGTTTATAAAGTTTTCTCACGTTGTCACCTCTCATCACAGAACTAGAATAATATAGAAATCATAAAAGCGCTACAGATTTAGATAAAACGCAATCAGACTCAGACGCATGAAATGATTTTATCATAAGTTCCTTGTCATCACATACATGCTTTATAAACACTACTGTAACAGCCAAAGAGAAACTTATATTTAATAAGTCAAGGGTCAAGAGCCCAACTAATCAAAAAAGTTGAAAAGAAAAAACAACATCTACTCTTGTAGAGTGGGACCATATATGCTCCGAGCAGTGTTACTTTAACACTCAGGATTTTACTGTATTAATCATATAAATCTTGCTAATATTAATCATTCACAATATAAATATTGATCACACTTTACAGTTTAACTCCTACACACAGTAATTGCTCACGGTCGAGTGAATTACAGCGTTGCGAATCGGTTCACCTGAATCAGTTAAAATAACGATAACGATAAAATAACGAGGGAACTGGATTCACATTTGTTGCAATGGACCTTGTTCACATTTCCGGGTTTCTCAGCAGCGGAAGTCGTCATAGTTGGGTTAACTTCAAGAGCAGTGAATGGGAGAGTACCACAAAAATATTTTTTGCATTGCCATTTGCTCAAATAGCAAACAAAAAACTCCACGATTGTGTTTTCATGACTTTCAATAAAAGGGAAAAAAATTGAGAGAGACTGATAACGGCAGTCAGAAGAGAGAACGATGTCAAATTTACCGTCCCTCCCAAAGACGTTGCATTAGAAACCTTTGATGCAAAGGTAGCGTAATATAAGCTACAAAGGATAGTGTTATAAATGTACACGTAAAAAAAAAAAAAAAATCAAAATATAAAAAAAACTTTAGAAGAATTTATGATGCTGATGACCATTAAACACAGCATCACAGTCTTGTGAAAAGTAAAACTCCTTCTAAATGGAAGTGGAAGAGAACAGGAGTATGAAGAGATCATAAAAGGTGAGAAAAGACGACGGGAAATAATCCAAAGATACTCACTTTACTGAGACTATCAGAGGAAGCCGTTTTCATTCATCTAAAACACAACGAACCCACGACTATAGAGAAACCTCTATCTGTCTGCATATATAACAGATCAAATATACTTCATAAATGCTCTGGAGGGTTATAGAAGTGGATCAGAGTGATTGCTGGTTTCATTTCCCGCCATTATCTCCTCTGTCATGCAGTGAAACACAGTGCGTCTCTAGCGGCCGACAGAAGAACTGCGACCCTCAGAGAGACCGTCAAGTTGCACCGTGTCAGTATCAGACGAGACTTTATGACAACTTCTGTCTAAAACACTCTGTTTATTTCGGTTAATACGTGTGTAAGGGCGAGCCCAGTACATGAGAAAACGGACATGCATAAGATGAGGGCGACAAGAACAATTTATACGCGTCATTCTATGGAAATGTCACTTGATAAACACTCTAGGGGTACAATTTCTTTATATTTTAAAATGAAACAATATGTTATTTGAACAACTACACCTTCTTGAGTCATCAATGTGGCAATATTTTTTTTTATATCAATTATAAAGAATTCCAAGCACCACAAAACTGCTCGTCCCCACAGTTTTGAGGTCAAAACAGGTTTTTCTACCATTTAAAATACAATAAATTATTTTATTATAGTTACATGATACATTTGATAGCTATGAATACATTGTCAATAATGTATTCATAGCTATCAAATATATCATGTAAATATATCATGAAAACGAAATGGCAAATAAATATCATAAATTATATACTGAAAGTGGTCCCCTGGAGTTGTGTCACTGGTGCTACTGTTGAACAAAAATAGTTTATTTTGAAATAAAAATCACACTGACATCACTTGACTTCCTCCTTCCTATTTCCTGAAGATCTATGAAGAAAGGCCCATGTAAAGTCCACTGTCTCTTTTCAGCTATCAGAAATGTTCTCATTTATCTCATGATTTCATATGAAGCTTTTAGTGGAAGTCACTGGCATGACCTACGTTATTGTTAGGGAATTGTAAAAAACTAGAATACAAATGGATTGAACTACTTAATTTAGTGAGCATACCATGATTGACAACATGTGGTTGGATACCTTGCAGCAGACATTTTGTAAAATGCATTTTTCATAAAAATTGTCACTGGTGTTACTGTCACTTGTGTCACCTTCCTTATGGTTAGCACCAGTGAAGATCAGTTTATGTTTATGTTATTTTACTAACTGCTTTCACTAATTGCTTAATGTATGCCAAATGTATGCCAAAATAGTCTCATTTACTTAAAGTATGAGAATAAGGATCTTTGGTCTTGTCACTGGTGTTACCGTGTTTTTTCTGTCACATTAAATAAAAATAATAATAATTTTACATCCATTTAATTCTGCTACACTCAAGAGTTAAGATTTAAAGTATTGCGTCATTACTTGTTTATAACTGTTTTTTTTTCAAATATTTTCATTGTTATAGCAAATACATGGTTGTGCAAATGAACTAACATCATTCAATCACACTTTTAACAATCCTGATTAAAATAAACAAAACATAATCTCCTGATTTGTTGCATTATCGTTATTTTTCTGTAACTCTGACTACATGCGTTGAAAAAATCGAGAAATAATATTTCATAATATTGCCAAAGAAGTAAGGTAACACCAGTGACAAAAAGAGGGGGAGATAAAAAATCATTAAAGGGGTCATATGATGCCCATTTTCCACAAGTTGATATGATTCTTTAGGGTCTTAATGAAAAGTCTGTAACATAGTTTGGTTAAAATTTCTCAATGGTAGTGTAAAAACACCCTTTTTTTACCGTCAAAAACAGCTCTTTTCAGTTCAAGCCATTTTTGTAGCATTTTCCTTTAAATGTTAATGAGCTCTGCTGACCCCGCCCCTCTCTTCCGAGCTGCTCTCAGAGAGACTGTTTACTTTAGCCGCATTCATCGTGAAACTTGCTAATTAGCACATTATTAGGAAAGGCGATTTGCAAAGATTCATTACAAAACATTATACTCACTGTCGACACACACTGCCAACACACATTTCAGTTCAAACAACTTGTAAAAGTGCATGTAGCATCCTATGACCCCTTTGAGCTGTCATTTATGTGCATTCATAAAGTCAAAAGGTAATCTAATAATGTGGTCTAAGTTTAAATGTAGAACGACTTGAAACAAAATTGACTTAAAACAACATGCCTCAGATGTAAATATATTAGGGCTTTTCTGTAATCAGTTACATTGTTGTATTACTTTACGTTTTCAGAATACACAATTATGTTATTAATTATTAATAGCTAGATTTCTGTACATGTGTTAGTGCATTTTTAAAGACATTGTTTTACTTTTGATTTTTGAAATCCACAGAGACTGCGGTCAGAAACAGATGAGGTTCACTGCTCGAACAGACTGGTTAATATTGATCTAGAATAAGATGATAATGACAGCCTGTTGAACTATAAGGTCTATAAATACCCAATATTCAATATCATTTAGCAATGTTAAACCAGCATTTATGAGAGCATGGCAAGAAAATAAATACATAAATATTCTTTGAGCTTGGGACATATTGAGGAGATCGTCCCTTTAAAAAAACAGCCATTAGCCAATATGCTAATTCTAGAGAGCGTCTGATTGGACGAAAATCTGTGTAGTGCAGGATGTCATCAATGTTTTTGTTGTATAGTTTAAGTGTAGCTATTTCTGCTAAGAGTGAGTGTTGTGAGGATTTAGGAGTAGGCTACACTAGCATAAAGATGAACTCAACTTCACTGTGTAAAGATCTCTGACTGAACCTCCTCTTCTGATCGTTCATTGTCAACCAACACAACTTACTGTGCATTTTCTCTAATGGTAACTTCTTTCTTCAGGGGTTTGAACCTACAACCTTTGGCTTCTCTGCTCGATGTTCAGTTGCCATCTTTTGTTCACTTTCTCCTCACCTTTCCTTCAGTATGTCTTTCCTTCTTACTGTTTCTGCCTTGCAATGACGTTTTCTCCCTCGCTTTGCATTCCTTCCTTATTGTCTGCTTTGTGGAAACTGCTGTTGCGTTTGAGAAAGAGTAGAAATGCGATGGCAGTGAAGTGACTTCATGAAGGGAACTCGCGCATTATTGGGTAAAACAACCAACTGGCTGAATGTGAAGCACTTACTAGCAACAAATGCCAAATTAAGCTCAGTTGAACCCATAATATGATGTGCATCAAGAACAAACGTGTTGCATTTCTGTCAGATCAGCCCGAATCCAAACTCAAGCCTTTTCTCTCTCACCCTTTCACTTGTTTCTGGAGGTTGATCTAATCTGGTCTAAGCTGCATGTCTTTGGTCGGGTCTGTGTGTGTTGGTGGTGTCTCTCTAGGACTGAGGTGAGCTTTCCGATGTGTGGCTGCTCAGAAGTTGCCGAAGATTTCCTGTTTCTTGCTCCAGTCCATTGGGGGCGCTCTCTTGTTGGGCCGTTTGGCCCGGGCTTTCTGCTTGGCTTCTGCCGCGGTCAGACTCAGATGCAGACCGCTCTCCCAGAACGGATCTAGCGGCCGCTCCTCAGAGTTCACGTCTGGCTTTGGTTTAGGGGCGTCATCGCTGGAGAGATGGTCAGAATCTGTGAGCTGTGAAAAAAACAACACAAGGTTTATACTAGCGCTGTCAAACGATTAATCACATCCAAAATAAAAGTTCTTGTTTACATAGTATATGTGTGTGTACTGTGTATATAATTACAAACACATGCATATATTTCAGAAAAATATGTTGTTTATACATTAAATATATTTATATATAATATCAAATATAAGAATATAAATATATAAATGTATATAAAATGTATATACACATGTAAATATTTTCAATATATACACTGTATGTGTGTATTTATACATAATAAATATATACAGTACACACTCATATATTATGTAAACAAAAACTTTTATTTTAGATGTGATTAATCACGATTAGTCGTTTGACAGCACTAGTTTATTTGCATGCATTATTGTTTCAATCTAAATATATTATGCAAAGTATGCTATCAAATTAATGATCAATGCATTCAAGGTATAGTTTTTTTTATTTTTATGGGAATTGAACCCATGACCTTGCTGTTGCTAGTGCCATATAGTACTGTTTGAGCTACAGTAGTAATACTACTACTACTAATAATTATAATAATAATGATGATGAAATAATTAATAATATACCAAATGATCAAATTATTATTATTATTAATATTGTTTTACGTTAATTAATAATATACCATATTAAAAATAACATTAATAACAACAACAATTATTTTATATTAAAATTTGAGTATTATTGTTAACCAACAATGCTAATAATAATTTATTATTATATTAATTAATAATATACCATATTAAAAATAACATTAATAATAATATTTATTATTATTATTATACTAAAATTTGAGTATTACTGTTACCAGCAACAATAATAATACTAATAATATAAATACTATTTAACTTATTATTGTTATTTTCCAATCATTGATAATATATTATTATTAAATTTTAATATAGCCAACAACAAATATAAATAATTATTATAATTAAATAAAATTAAGACCATATTGGACAATTATTACTAATATTAGTATTATATATTTTGATTATTATAATATATCATATATATCAATATATAATTTGTTACTAACAACATAATAATAATAATAATTAAATTAATAATATATCATATCAATAAATTATTATTACTGATATCAACACCAAGTGTAATAATAATAATAATAATAATTTAGATTAATATACAATATTTTATATGGTTAAAATATTATTGTTACCAACAACAACACATTTTTATTATTATTTAATTCATAATATACCATATTAACATATGACTGTTATTGTAACAATAATTACTATTACTATTATTTAATTAATAAATAAATACATGCTTATTATTATTAAGATCATCAACAACAACTATATATATATATATATTTTTTTTTTAAAATAACTAAGCCACTGTAATTTTACTGAGTGATTTTCCTGGCATACACCTTGCTGCTGCTGTCAAAGCTGCTGATTTCAGCGCTCGTCTCTGATAAAGTGGATCGAGAGGAGGAGCTTCTGTGACTCTGGTGTCTTGGGGAGCCGTTGCTGATTGGTGGCTCAGTCAGTGTGATGTTGATGATTGGTGGAGAGATCTTGGGGGTGTCTGGGACCGGTGAAGAAGACACAGGGCTGTGTGCGGTTGGATATGTCGTTCCAGGACTCTCTATGATCGGCCCGTCCACACAGTCCTCTGTTTGACAGAAATTCATTGGTAAGATCATTACTGACACGTCGCCTAGTTGTGATTTAGAGCTAGTTTCTAAGTGCACTGAACGTTACTAATGTTTGCATGAAGCATCAGCCGTGTTTTGCATAAACTAGTGAACACAGTAGCAGTCAGGTGAGGTTAAGTAAATACAAAGCATTTAAATATCATCTTTCCCGTTTGGTTTCCTTCTGTGGACTTTCCCAGAACTCCCAGGACACATATAGGAAAATTCTATTAATATACTGTCCATGCGAAAACACGCACTGTACCTTTAAGATGAATAGATGTGGGCACGATGCCCAGTCGGTTGAAGAGCTCATCTGTGTCGGGATCCACCACCAGCAGACGTGTGTCTGTGCCGCCCGCTCTGATCAACGCCACCACCTCCGCGTGACGCAGGCCCTCGACACTCCTGTCGTTCACCTGCAAACATGACAGACAGAGGAGAGAGCTGACTCTGACTGAATACTAACTACTGCACACTTTCTATACTATATAGATCGCAAGATTCCAGTTCAGGCCTTATCTGAACCCCAATGCATCCAACTCAAGCTACACCTACATTAAAAACAAGAGAGACTGAACCTATACATCTCTAGATAGAACAGCACGACATACACAACTATACTGAACTATGTTTATTTATTATATCATACAAATATACTATTGTTATATCACATAATGTAATAATATTATTATATTTAATATTATTTATTATATTATTAATTTAATTGATTTATTA